GTTAAAGCCATCAACTTGTGGGATAAAGCAGCACTAAATAACTGTATCTTAAAAGGGAGGCATGCTAGCTTCCATATAGGTATACAAAATATTGTGCGGGTTACTGCTAAACTTTTTTGTAAAAGTTTAAAGTGAAAAAGTGAAAGCAACCTAACATCAATTAATAGGAGAATGTGTAAATAAATCATGACACACCTAATGAATTCCTTGGAGTCCTGGTGTGGCGCTGTAGGATACATATTCGACCATAAGGTCGGTTTGAACTACAAGGTCGTTGGTTCACTCACCAGCCGCTCCTTGGAGATGCTACACAGGGTCGCAATGAGTCAGAATTGACTCAACAGCACTTAACAACAACAACAGTGACGTCCATAAAAATAGAATTGGGTAGATGTTTATGTGCTAACATGACAGATGCCTATGAAATATGTTTAGTTTAAAAAAAAAAAGCTGTGACTACAGGCAACTAGAACAATTTGTAAATTTATAGTATAATATTTTCCAATTATATTAACTTTATATTATAAAAATTAACATTATTTTACAATATAGTTTATAAAGCTAACAATTGAAAAATTATATTATAACGTTGAAACAATTCTACTAGTTGGTTCCGACTCTGTATAGGGTTGAAGGCTATGAACCTTTATAGGTGTAGAAAGTCTCATCTTTCTCCCAAGGAATGATTGGTGGACTCAAACCATTTTGCAGTTAGCAGTTCAATTTGTAATCCACTATACCATCAGGGCTCTTTTCGACTCGTTGTTGTTGTTAAATGCCATCAAATCGGTTCTAACTCATAGTGACCCTGTATAGGGTTTCCGAGGAGCAGCTGGTAGGTTTGAACTGTCAACATTGTAGTTCACAGTCCAGTACTAATCCTACAGCACCACACCAGGAATCCCTCAACTATATAAGTAAATATAACTTTTATTGAGCTTTGTGGTATAATTTGTTATGATTAAACTTCAATGTTTTCAATCTATACAGTCACCATACTAAAGACAAATTATCTAGTAAAAGTATCAATCTACCCTGGATTGTGGCCAATTATAACAGTAAAACCATAATTGTAATGACTGTCTAGCATATGAAGGGGCTTCAAAAAGTTCATGGAAAGTGAAATGAAAAGATAATAGATTTTTCCATGAACTTTTTGAAGCCCCCTCGAAAATATACTTATTTTTACACCAGGAAACTAATCTAATTATTGGTGGATTAAATAATACATGCAATGGCTTTACCCTCATATATCACATAGAAGTATTCATTCAGTTGCCATACAATTATTATCAGCATCACCAACACATCACCATCATTATCATTTTATGAAATAAATGAATAAAGAGAAGACATTCATTCTAAAAGTCCACTGTAGCAGTAAAGAACTAGTTAATGTCTATTCCTACAAGAAGGGCTGTGTACCAGGGGGACTCGAGGTTGGCCAGGTGCAGAGATGACTCCAGGGCAAACTGCAGGCATTTGAGTAACAGTAAGTATAGGTCTAAAGTAAGATTCTTTCATAAGGGGTCTTCCCAAGAACTGCTGCATCTAAAAGACAAAAGGAGAAAACAATAACAGTAGTTAGACACATACAGGTAATGATCTATATTTACAGAGTAATGTTTGGGGAAAAACAGTGATTTAAATCCATATACAAAGAATGTAACCCATTTTTTTTAAAAGTATGCTATATTTTTTGTTGTTGTTAGGTGTGATCGAGTTGGTTCTGACTCATACCAACTCTATATAGGGTTTCCAAGACTATAAATCTTTACCGAAGCAGAAAGTCTCATCTTTCTTATAAGGAGTGGTTGGGTTTGAACCACTAACCTAACTGGTTAGCAGTCCAGTACTTAGCCTATGGTGCCACCAGCACTCCTAGCCTTAAAAAAAGAAAAAAAAAGTTATACAGCATTAGCTTAATATATGAATGGAGTACTGGTGTGGCACTGTAGGCTAAGCACTGGACTGCTAACCACAAGGTCAATGGTTCAAACCCACCAGCCATTCCTCTGAAACCCTCTACATGTTGCTATGAGTTGGAACTGACTTAATGGCACATAACAACAACAACAACAAATATATGCATATTTAGAAAAGCATTGAGATGTGGAATGTAATGTAACAGCACGTAGTGAGTGAGAGGAGAACCGGGTTTCTATCTACTTTCTGTCTACCTAGCTGGGTAACACTGATTCCCAGTTTATAAATCAATTAAATAAGAACATTGGGTTAGGTGATCTGTTAGGTTCCCTCCCAACTTTAATAATATAGGACTATAAAAAGAAGATATCCAGTAACTGTTGTTCCTGTTGGTGAACAATAGTAATACTCAGAAATTCTACAAAAGAACCCAAGTTGCCTCTTCATGGAAAGATGAAGGTCTAGGGGTTCTACAAGTCAACGTTTCACTGTGTCTCAGCAATCGAGTACCACTGAACTTAATACCTGAGGCTTATGTAAAACTGGTTCCTGGAAACTCCAAAGTTTATTTTGAGAACCTTAATTAGTTCCCAAAGCTCTGAAGCCATTTCATATTTAGAGTCACGGGAAAGTTTAGCTACAACCTACAAGTAGCAGCAGTTGGGGCATCGACAGAAAGTACAAGTTTCTGATAATCCTAATAAGAATATGTCTTACTTCCTGTAAACTGCAGAAATTTCTCTGTTGGCTTCTTAACACCTTACTTATCAGAGTAATTGCATGTGATGGTGATCTCACCTGGAATAGAAAGATTTAAGATAGAATAGTTCTATAGAACCTGAATTGACAAAAATAATAAAAGGCAATAGTATCCTTTTAAGGATTATGAATTGTATCATATGATGATTTTAGTTCAGAATATTGCTTTTGAAACACTCTGTTAACCCTGCACTGCTCACATAAGGTTACATTCTTTGTTATACTCAACCATGAGTTGAGATAACATTTTTACGGTCCTGTCACAAGCAGGAGTTCTGATATGGTGCTGCAGGATAAGCACTGGACTGGTAAACACAAGGTTTGTGGTTCAAACCCACCAGCCATTCTTTGGAAACCCTATATAGGGTTGCTATAGTCCAGAACTGACTCAATGGCACTTAACAACAAAAAACACAAGCAGGATCCATAGGATAAGTACTAGACTAATAATTGAAATATCAGCAGTTCAAACCCATCAGCTGCTCCACAGGAGAAAGATAAGACTTTCTAATCACATAAAGATTTTCAGCTTTGGAAACCATATACAGGGTTGTTTTAAGTCAAAATTGACTGGACTCCATTGAGTTTAATTGTGGTTTGGGTTACCTCAAGCAGGAAAGCTGATGTGAAAAGTTATCTACCCTAAAGTGTCAGACCTTCTTCATTTATCCTTAGATCTGTTATGACAATGAAAAATATCACCTAATTGTTTCCTTCTAAAGAATCTTTTGAAAGGCTGTGTGGCTTTATTAGGTTAAGGTACAATGTTCCCAGAAAGAGAAAAGGTATTATAATGAATGCATTCATTTTTCTAACATTCATTGACCCATAATAATAAGTAGGAAAGGGGCATAACTGAAAGTTTTAATTGATGTTGAAGGTGGAAAAGAAGAAAAGAGTTCATTGAAAAAAGTAGAAAGCAGAAGTAAAGGAGTGAAGTCCATAGCTTACTATAGCATTAAGCTGAGATGTTTCAGTAATCTAACGGTAAAATGAGAGTAAAATGTCCCCCCTAGAACCTTAGAATGTTGCCTTCTTCGGAAATAGGTTCCATGAAGATATGAGTTAAGATGAGGTCATATTGGGTAGGATGATGTTCTCACATGAAAAGAAAAAGAAACAGACAGGAATGAGGACTACATGAAGATAGAATAAGAGTTCTGAGCGATGCAGCTACAAGCCAAGCAATATCTAATACTATTGGATGTTGGAAGCAGTAAGGAAGGATTCTCCTCTTAAGGCTTCAGAAAGATCATGACATTGTCAACACTTTGATTTCAGATTTCTAGATTCCAAAACTGTTAGAGAACAGACTCCTGATGTTTTAATCCAAACAGTTTGTGGTACTTACGCAAGGCAGCTCTAGGAAACTAATATAAATTTTGGTACTCAGAAGTGGGATGATGTAACAAATACTATTCCACAATTGTGGAAATGCCTTTGAAACTGGGTGATGGGAAAAAAGTTGGAAGGATTTGAGGCCCTTAATAGAAAACACCCAATGAACTCTTGGGATCATTAAAAGCTAAGAGACAAGGAAGGATTCTCCTCCAGAGGCTTCACAGGGAACATAGGCTTGCCAACAACTTGATTTCAGACTTCAAGTCTTCAGAACTATGGTAATTTGAAATGACAGCCCTAGAAAACTATTGTAGAAGACACTGGAACTTCTGAGTATTCACAAGTGGTTTTCTATTATGTAGGTACAGTTGATATAGTAATCAACTGTACCTACATAATAAATGTAGGTACCTACATTTATTTACCTACAAAAAAATGAAAACTATTACCTCTTTAGATATCAAATATATGACTAAGATACAATATACATTTTGGTTTCACCTGTTAGCCAACAAATTTTATAATATGGAAACTGGCAGTCATGAACATAATTACAATTAGTATGTACAACATGTGTAGTCATGGTGTGGCATTGTGGGATAGATAATACTCTGGACTGCAAGGTTAGTTTGAACCACAAGGTTGGTGGTTCAAGCTTACCAGTCGCTCCTTGGAAACCCTATACAGGGTCACTATGGGTCAGAACTGACTCGACCCATGGCACTTAACAACAACAACAAAATGCACAACATGTACCTGTTACATTTAGAAAACACGTTAAACATATCACATTTTCAATGTTTGATAACCTTATCAGTTTATCAGTATAAAAATGGTAAGTTTTCTAAATCTTTTCTTTCTTACCAGTATTTCAGGATTGGGTGGTGGTGGTGGAAGCTGTACTGGAGGCAAGGTACTCAAGGCAAACCCTTGCTTCACCTTATTAATTTGTTCATTGTACTGAGTCTGGTGGAAGAAGAGAAACAATGTTTAGGGCAGAATCAACTTTAAAAGCATTGCATATGAGAATAATTAATGTAGAGTTTTGAATAATATAAAACTTTTTCAACACTGAGGACCTCTTAATTTTACATAAAATAATTCTATAGACCTGTACTGTACAGTAAGCACTGGACTGTAAACCACAAGGTCAAGGTTTCAAACTCACTGGCCGCTCCTCAGAAACCTTATATATAGGCTTATTATAAGTTAGAACTGACTCAACGCCACAACAAAACAGCTTAGACCATCCTCCTCAAATACAAGGGGGCTTCAAATAGAATTTAAAGATAATGAACTATTTCCATGAACTTTTAGAAGCACCTTTGAATAACGAGTTGCATTTATAGAAGTATAATCTTGATTGAAAAAATACAGACACACAAGTCACATATCCCTTATAATAATTTCTCTGTCCTCTCATAATTCTTAATCTGAACGCTAGACCAGAGATGTAAGTTGCTGTTGTTAAATGCCATCAAGTAGGTTCCAATGCATAGCGACCCTACAGAGGGTTTACAAGGAATGGTTGGTGGGTTTGAACTGCCAACTTTGTGGTTAACATCCCAGTGGGTATCCTAGTCCCATACCAGAACTCCACAGATATATACAGGTGAAGTCAAATAGTACTGGTATAAAATCATTTGTAAAATCAGAAACCTTTATTAAACAAAAACATTACAATGTGAAGCTACTGTTTCTCCACATATCCTCCATCTAGGTCTATTTACTTCTGAAGACAGTGTTTCCATCGCTAACCCTTCCTTGAACAATTATGTACTCTTTGATTTACGTTACAACATAATGGCAGTTTTGACATTCAAGGGACTCAAAAGGTGTTCTTGTAAAATGTTCTTTGAGTTTTGAGAGAAAAAATAAGTCGGAAGGCACATGATTGGGGCTGTAAGGCAGATGGGGTAAGGTTTCCCAATGAAATTATTATAAGAAAGCCTTTGCTATCCTCAAAGAATGAGCAGGAGCATTGTTGTGACTGGGGGGAAATTCCTTGGTGTAACTTTCTTGACCTTTTTCTCACAAACACAGTTTTCAATTTTTCTTAAAACTTCTTCATAGTAAGCCCCCATGATCATCCTGTGTCCTTTGAGAAAATCTATTAGGATTACCCCTTTGGAATCCCAACGGTCATCATAACCTTCTGAGCTGACTTTTTTCCCTTGAACTTAACTGGCCCACCAAAAACACTTGAAAGTCACTGTTTTGACTGGACCTGTTCTTTTTTTTTAAAGTACCCTAACAAGGACAAGACAAGTAGTACTGAGAAAATTTGTTTGCAACTATACACTGACCACAGAGACATGTTTAAACATGTTTTTGTTTGGAATAAACTCGTAGTAACATGAACTAGAATCCTATTAGCAATACTTTTTTTACTTATCCTTGAATAGAGATCTTAAAGAATCAAGAAGCTATAAAGAGCATACAAGCTAATAAGCAGAAAAACAAAGAAAATACTTATAATGAAAAGTTTTAAAATGGGAGTAGAAATGTTAGGAATATTCATGCAATGTCCACATTTATCCCCAAACCTGTAATTCTAGTTTACTCCAGCTCCACATCTATTTTTGTTTTATTCTCTTGAATTTCTGTCAGAAATGAAACACTAATCCTTGAAGCTTAATATGTTTTCAACATTTTTGATATTGCCACAATTTTTCATTACTATATTATTTTACAAACAACCCACAGGAGCTTGAAAAAAAAAAGTTCCTATAAATCAAAACATTCAGAAATTTCCATAGAGACATGTTTTTGAAATAGAATAAGGGACTGTTCTTTCAAGGACTGACCTTTGCATAAACCTAACAAATATGCTAAATATTTTCATTGTTGTTGTTAGGTGCCCTCAAGTCACTACGGGCTCATGGCAACCGGATGCACAACACAATGAAACACTGTTCTAATAACTAACTAAAGAAGAGTCAGGGAGGGAAATAGTGAAGACCATAAGGTAGAAGCTGGAGAAATTTGTAGTGCCTTTTGCGGCAGCTCTGCATAAGTGAACCTCATTGTTTTGCAGGATATGTGAAACCACAAAAAAAATCCACAAGAAATCATTATAATAGTGTTGATGTGGTTGCTATTGTTGTGTACCATGGGATTTGTTTTGACTCATAGTAACCTTGTACAGGGTTTCCAAGAACAGCTGGTGGGTCTGAATCACCGACTCTACTAATAAGATAGTCCAGTGCTTATCCTACAGCTTCACACCAACACTCCTTAGATTACTTTTAGTAAGGTCCTAATTCTATTAAATCAATAACTAAGAATGTGTTATTTTGTATTATAGAATTATATAAAAAGTTAATGTTGAAACTCATGCAGATGGACTTGATTTTTTTTTAATTTTCAAATATATTAGTATTCAGGACAAGTTAAGACATTTCTTTTTGTTTGGGACAGAGTTAGTTATGGAATTCTAGAGAAACTTGGTATGAGGCACAATAATGAATATGACCATGAAACTAGAATGCTCCCACAATTAACCAGAAGGAAGCAATCATTCTCAAGTGGAAGACATCATTTTTGTTTCAATAGCAAATATGTTTCTAGAGAAATAAAGGAGCATGTTCTCCCTTAAATTTTTCTTAACACTTGGTTTCAATGTTAGATCTTCATATATATACCACCTAGACCAGTCAGTCAATTTACTTGAAATGTACTTCATGACTTACCCTGAGGAATGCAATCTTGTTTCTAACATCCATCACAATGGCATTCCAACTGTCTACTGAAGCCTTTAATTGAAGTGACTCTAGGTTGCTGGTACAGAAAAAGAGATATATAAGATAGATCTTGCTTTTTATATACCATTTAGGTTCTAAAACATTTCCAATATGTTCTCTACCATATAGGTAAGAAATGTAAAACACTAACAAAATTACTTCCTTGACCAGAAATTATTTCAAGTAGGAAGGGATGTAAGAAAGGGCTTGATATTTAAAAATAAAAATAAAAACTATACAGCAATTTTTGTTTCAATAGCAAATATGTTTCTAGAGAACCAAGTATTTTTACCACCTTGGTGAAATAATTTCTTAGGATGTATTTCTAAACCTTTATAAAGGATCTCCTTCTTCAAAGAAGTAGGGAGACCTAGAAGGCCAAATAGGAAAATTGCCCTATTCATCAATATAGGAACATTCTCAATGATGTCTGATAATTTTTGAGATGTCTGACTCATATTGGAAGCTGTTTTTCTGCTATCTTCACATAGCTGTGGTTGGCTTATCATACTTTGCAAATCTGAAAAAGGTATTCTTCTCTGGGAAGGCAACTTAGAAAGAATTACCTTCTCTTTGGTAATTAGATTTTGGCTTTGTACGGTACATAAATTGCAAGTTCTGATAATCCATTGGGACAGAGTTAGTTTAGGAATTTTAATTCTAAGCCCAGTCTGGGGGCTCAGGACCTTGGTCTCATGGGGCACCATGGTCAACTGACATAATATAGTCAACAAAGAAAATGTTCTACATCCTACTTTGGTGAATAGTGACTGGGATCTTAAAAGCTCATGAGCAACCATCTAAGGTACAACTTTTGGTCTCTCCATGTATAGAAGTAAGAGCGATAAAAATTTGATGATGTTTGGAATCGATTAGTCCAATGGACCAATGGAACATATGAACGTCAATCACCTTGACTCTGAGACCAGAAGAAGTAGATAGTGTACCCAGCTACCAATATCTACTGCTCTGAAAGGGATCACATTAGAAGGTCCTGGATAGAGTGGGAGAAAATGTGGAACAAAACTCAAAATGATAAAAAAAAAAAAAAAAAAGTAAAAGACCAGGCTTACTAGTCAGAAAGAGACTGAAGGATTCTGAGACTATGACCCTTGACCACCTTTCATGCCTAGAAAGGAACTCACCCTATGACCCAATTTTCAGCTAAGCAGTATATAAATATGCAGGGAATAACAACACTAGTAAGGCATGCTCACCATGAAATAGTCAATCATTCAATATCAAAAGGGCAATATTTACCTAAGGACAAAGTTGAGAATGGATGGGAAGTAGGGTGGAATGGAAATATAAACCACAGGGAGGAAGTAAGAAAACTGTTATTACATGGATGGGATTGCAATCATTGAGACGAAACAAAGTATATGATTCAGTGAATCATAAAACTGATGATCTTCTCTGTATACATTTACTTAATTCACAGTAAAAATCACTTTTAAAAAATCTAAGCCCAGCAAATGACTTTGCTAGAATAAGAACAGTGTTGGGGTCTGTCATCTCTAGAAGTAAGATTTCATAATGTCTTTCCAAAGGCTCTCTGTTATACAATACCCCACTCCAGTATCTCCCACCAAGATAGCTTTACATGTTATCAATGGAATACAAAGTGACTCCATAAAACTCTAAATCACTCTATCAAGCAGATAGACAAATCACTTGCAATAGGGATTCCCCAACCCAAACGCACATCAGAATATCCTCAGACTCTTGCTAAATATCAAGATTCTGATTCTTTGGGATTATAGAATAAACAAGATTATTAACATGATCATCATTTTAAAAGAATGAAGACTCAGTGCTAGCGATTCTAATTTAATTCTTTGAGTTTTATGTACTCCCCATAACATTATAAATTTGAGGAAGATTTGATACAGTTTATCCAATATTTGAAAAAAACACTCATTTAGAATACAGCAGTAAAGTGTCTTTGACATAATTTTAGGTATTAATAATAATAATTATCCCAACCCATTCCAAAAGTATTTCATGAACATCAAGCTTTAGGAGGGAAAACAATTAGAAAAAGTTTTCCAGTTAGAATCCACCTTGTTATGTGAATGTGTGCCTCTGGCTGTGACTTTTGATCTGTTTCACCCAAAGGAAGAAAACAAATCTGTCAGTAGCTAATACTGAACACAGCAGATTTCATAGTACATCCGTTGAGACAACAAAGTAAGAGCATCAAAGGAACAAGTGACTTTGGGGTTTCAAAAAACAAGGTGGCTTCTTCACTCCAAAGTTCGATAGTCTATATGTCAAACACATCACAGATTATGTCCAACCATGGAGCCTTTTGCAGTCTCTCTGAAGTCAAGATGCATTTAAAGGGTAAGGTTACCTTGCTGCCATGTGAGTCACCCTGGCAAGTTGGCTGAGACACTCCTTTTCTGTCTGCTCTAAATGAAGCAACCCAAAATCTCGGCGACACTGTAAGAAATACACCTACAGATTTTGAGAGAGAGGAGAGAATTGAAGATACCCTTCTTGTCACTTGCAAATAAACACATTTTCAATAATCTCAAGTATATTAAGCTATTTTTCTACCTCTTCCAACTGCTTCTGGGCTTCTTGACATTACAAAAAATTTTTGATCAATACAGTCCTGTGTTATTGTTGTTTTTAATTCAATGGTTTCAGGGTTGATAAACGATTTAAAAATCTGCACATTTATTCAAATCATCTAGGAAACTTAAATGTAATGCTATGGTCTCAGAGATTCTAATTTAATTAATGGTGGGTATACTTTAGGCATCTAGACATTTAAAAGCTCTCTGTTGACTCTATTATGTAGCAAAGTTTGAGAACATTCAAAAGAAAGACTGACATTTTACTTTTATTGGTGAAGTAAGAAAACAACTGGACCATATAGAACCATAATATCCAAATGGGCTTTGTAGGTCATCTAAGCAAATCTCCCTCCCAAAGCAGAAATTAGTGCATTATTACTGATGCATGACAATTTAGCCTCTGTTTTTTGTTTTATATTGGCTATTGTTTGTTTCTGCTTTCCTTTTTTTAAATATGAATTGTTCAATGTTCACTAAAAATAGCTTATTATATGATTAGCATTAAGTGTTAGAAGCCCTTTTTTTCTAAAACGAATACTAAAAGTAGAAAGCAGCTTTCCTTTCTGACTGAAAACAGTGAAAACCAAAACATATAAACATGAGCTTTTATGGTAAGCCAAACTCTTTCTTTCATTAAAGCTAATACTTCAACAATTTATCCTCCAGGGATTTTTGGATCAGATACCCCTCCTTGGCTGGTGATCCCAAGTATTCTGCTAGAGAACAGAGCTTACCCAGGCAGAGGTGGGAAGATTTTATAATGCTTTTAATGTCAGTGAGCTCTTCAAAAATGTGGATATTATACACCAAGTTTGGTTATCTATAGATAAAAATTACATATACACACAATCATATTTCTTTTGAAAGCCTCTAGCTAACCTAGAAGAAATTGTGTACCACTTGGTGAGTCTGGAAGCCAAACTGCACTTTGACATTGATGTATGTATCTGATGGGGACAACGTATATGATGGGTACATATGTGTTTTAGGAGATCAAGGGAGCAGCAGAAGAAAAAGGAGGAATTCTAGCCACAGTGAAATGTTATGTAATTCTTAGAAGTTGGATTGAGTACTCTGGCTTCATGAGAATTTTCCCAAGATGCCTGCATTAGCTATATGTTGTGGTGGTGGTGGTGAAGTGCCTTGGAGTCGGTTCCGACTCATAGTGACACTTTTCAGGGTTCCTGAGGAGCAGCTGGTGAGTTTGAACTGTCGACCTGGTTCACAGTCTAGTGCTAATCCTACAGCACCACACCAAGAGTAGTTACTGAAGTAAACTAATTTCTTGGGGTTATTTGAGAAAGTACAACATAAGATCATTAACGTTCAAGTATTCATGCATAATGTACCAATGAATCAAAAGGCACCAGAGTTTGAGCTGTGTTTTCCCAGTTGATCCTAAAATGTCTTTTTTTTTTCCAAAAAATTTTAATGTATTAACCGCCCATATCCCATCCTTTTTGTTGTTGTTGGTGATTGTTTTTTTGTTTTTATGTTTGATGCTTTACCTCTGCTGTTAGAGCTCTGCTGGTTTCTGCATTCAGTTTGTTCACGTATGTTTTAATTGTGCTTTCCAGATTCTGCTTCTCCACTTCCCACTGAGACCTGAAATATTTGACATGAAAATGTCAAAACATTACTACACAAGAAGGAACAATATTCTGTATCCTATTCCAGGGAAGAAAAATACACGGCATACAGTGAGCATAAAATGATTTCTTGGGGAAATACGCAGCATCTACAAGTGGGCTTTAAAAAGTTCGTGGAGAAATGGTATGAAAAAATAACACAAGTTTTCCACTAACTGTTTGAAGTCTCTTCATACAAATGGGAGAAGATACTGCTAGCTATCCTTTACTAGCATAAAGAAACTAGAAGTTTTAATGTTTTTAGTATAGGTATGATGATTAAAAATTTGGCTCTGAAATCAATTTGTCTTAGGATGAATCTAAATTCCAAAACTTACTAGATGTGAAACCTTGGGCAAGTTATTTACCTTCTCTTTGCCCTAGTTTCCTTATATTTTAAAAACAGAGAAAATTGTAAAACTTTCAAATTTTCAAAGATATGTGAAACATCATCAAGATAATCTATATAAGATCTTTTGCATTTGGTACATAACAAGTACTAAATAAATATTAAAAAATCAAAACAACACTCAATGCCACTGAGTCAATTTCAACTCACAATGTCCCTCAGAGGAGCAGATAGCTTCATCTTTCTCCCTAAGAGTGGCTGCTGAGGTTTGAACTGTCAACTTTGAGGTTGGCAGTCCAATGCTGGTCTCATAGTCCCATTTAGGCTATTAGCAATAAAGTTTACATAGAATAAGACTTAGACAAGCATTTTCCTATCCCAACAACAGTAACCATAGAAGTTTTTATTATCATTACTATAAAGCTAAGTCACTGCATAAAATATTATACTGGTTATATAGTATTCACATTCAGTGAAATGAGAAACAAATACTTATGAGAGAAGGAAATAATGGTAAGGATATTGTATATGAAAGGCACTGATGGAAACTAGCTACCTATAAAAATTTGTGTTTTCTTTTTCTTTTCCAGTTCTGTTTCTGGTGGCATAGAAGATTAGGTGTTGATCTGTCAGCCACAAGGTTAACAGTTCAAATCCACCAGTCACTCTGCAGGAGAAAGATGAGACTTTCTGCTCCTATAATGATTTACAGCCTCAGAAACCCTATACAGGATCGCTATGAGTTGACAACCAGCCCCATCATTCTATCTCAGCTTTCCACACTTGAACCCCAGAACTCTAGCGCATATAAACTAAATTCTGTTTTTAATGAAAAGAGTTAATTCAAAATATAACATTGTAATAGAGCCTTTTATAATAGAATCTATTATTATAGACATCTGGATGCTTGAGCACCTGGCAAACATTGCTGAGAATTTGATATACTATAGTATAAATATCATTAAGATCTGAGATTTTAAGGGGAAAACTCTAAAATATCTAAACAGATAATATTAACTCAACAAGAAAACAATTTGTTATTTGCCCTTAAACATTGTGAAAAACTATTCCTATAAGAACACAAAAAGTAGATAAATTGGACTTCATCAAATTAAAAACCTTTGTGCTTCCACAGACACCATTGAGAGCACAGAAAGACAACCTCCACAATATGACAAAGTTTTTGCAAATCATGTATCTGATAATGAACTCTTAAAACTTTACAATAACACAAACAACTAAAATGTTAAAAGTGGGGAAAGAATATGAATAGACATTTCTCAAAAGTAAAAATGTTACAAATGACTAATTAGCATACGAAAAGAGTCTTAGCATCATGAATCATTAGGAAAATACAAAATAAAATTTGACTGAGGTACCGCTTTATACTCACTAGAATAGTTACAATTAAAAAAAAAAAAAAAAGACAAGAAACTTGACAAGTATTGACAAGGATAGGGAGAAACTGGAACCTTGTGCACTGCTGATGGGAATGTAAAATGGTTTGGCTACTATGGAAAACATTTTACTGATTCCTCAAAAAAGCTACACAAGAAATTACCATTGACGCAACAATTCTACTCCTATTCATATGCCCAAAAGAAATGAAAGCATAAAGTAAATATTTTTGCACAAATGTTCATAGAGCACTATTCACAATAGGCAAAAGGCAAAAATATGTGAACCAGAATAAAACTAGTTAAGTTTTTTGAAACTTCTGCTGCAGTTGCAAACTGCTGCCAAATCAATGACAACTCATATGGACCCTGTATAAGGTTTCCAAGGCTGTAAATCTTCCCAGGAGCAAAAAGCCTCATATTTTTCCTGTGAAGCAACTGGAGGATTTGAACTGATGACCTTGTGGTTAGAAGTCCAACACATAACCCACTACATTACCAAAGTTCTTTTATGACACTGGTGGTGGTGGTGGTGATGGTGGTGGTTGTGTGTCGCTGAGTCAGTTCCCACTCATAGTGACCCAGTATAGGGTTTCCAAAGCTGTAAATCTTTATGGAAGCAAAGCGCCTAATTTTTACCCATGGAGCAACTGGTAAATTTGAATTATTGACCTTATGGTGAGCAACCCAGCTGGTAATCCACTACACAGTTAAGTTTTACTCTGATTCAGTTATCTATTTTCATAACAGTAAGTCTGTAGGATAAGCACTGTACTGTGAGCCACAAAGTCAACGGTTTGAGCCCACCAGCCACTCTGTGGGAGAAAAACAAGGCTTTCTGTTCCCACAAAGATTTGCAGCCTCAGAAACATTATACAGGGTTGCTGTGAGCCAGAAGCAACTTGTCAGCACTAAACAACAACAGTTTCAGAAAGCAGTCACATTTACTGGTACTGATTAAGGTAAAAATGGTGGTGTTGGTTGTGTACTGACTCCTAGCAACGCTGTATAGGGTGTCTAAGGCTGGGAATCTTGACGAGAGCAGAAAGCCTGGTCTTTCTCTTAAACTCTAGTCTCTGATATTTGTTTTTGGTGGGATCATAACTTTGGTGATTGAATCTCTCTCAGCAGTTTTTATGGCCAGAGCTAAGGTAACCATAGCTCCCAAGTTGCCTGGGATAGCTATTGTTCCCCAATGTGATTTTAATACTGTTCACTTTCATGCTAACGCGTTTCATAGTTTCTATGATAAATTATATGACTACCTAGCCAGAATGAGTCCTGATGTGGTGCTGTAGGATAAATACTGGACTGCTAACGCAAGGTTGATGGTTCAAACCCACCAGTCACTCTTTGGAAACCCTATACAGGGTCACTATGAGTGGGAACTGACTTTACGGCACTTAACAACCATAACAACTAGCCAGAAGGCGCTCTGGTGGCACAATTGTTAAGAGTTCAGCTGCTAACCAAAATTCTGGTGGTTTGAATCCACCCTATGGTTCTACAGCAAAAAACAATCTGTGGCCATAAAGATTGTTGCTGTTGGTTGTTGCTAAGTGCTAAGTTGGTTCCGAATCATAGCGACCTTGTATAGGACTTCCAAGGACCAGCTGGTGGGTTTGAGGTGCCAACATTGCAATTAGCATTCCAGGGCTGATCCTACAGTGCCACACTGGGAGTTCCACCCTAGGAAACCTTATGATGCCCTGAGTCATAATCAATTCAAGGGCACTCAACAACAACCCCAGTGAGAGTATAGTAAATGGAATATATAAGAGTTTCAGAGACAATGCACTCTTACTAAAGCAAAAGTGACGTTCTGACACGTACCTTTTCATGGAAAGTTGCTCTTTAAGGTTTTTTATTTCATTGTCTTTCGCATGGATTTGACGCTGTAATCTAAGCAAATAGAAGAAAAGAGTCATGAAATGATATTTCTCATTAACAGTTGTAGGTAAGCGCCATCAAGTCGGTTCCAACTCATAGCGACCCTGTGTAGGGTTTCCAAGGAGCAATTGGTGAGCTTGAATAGACAACTTTGTGGTTCTAACCGATCTTGCAGCCCAGCACATTAACCCACAGCTCCAAGACCTGAGGAGGAACTAAATATGTACATTTTAAACCACAGTTTTTGAGCCTGAAAACAATTGCTGGACTCCTGTGCCTAGTTTTTCTGAAATTTATATTTCCTATTTCTGATGTCTGTTTTGCTTACTTCCCAAAGAAAGAGGAACTAAATTCTAACCTGGTAGATTAGAAAGTAGAGAGAAGTGTTATATCACCAGTTCACTAACTTGGAAAAACGTATCCATTAGACATTTAAGTTGTTGTTGTTGTTGCTGTTACATGCTGTTGAGTTGTTTCCAACTCATATAGACCCTATTATCAGGTTTCTGAGGAGTGGCTGGTGAGTTTAAACTGCCAACCTTCGGTTCAAACCAACTTTGAGGTTGAGTATTTGTCCTACAGTGCCACAGCTTACCCAATAGAAAACAAAGATGGGATCTTCTGATTTTTGAGGTCTGTTATGGGAGTTCTGGTGTGTTGCTGCGAGTTAATGTGTTAGACTGTAAGGTCGATTTGAACTGCAGGTTGGCAATTCACCATGAGTTCGAACCTGCTCAATGGCACTTAGCTACAACAACAACAAATGGGAGTCCTGGTTTGGTGCTACAGTATAATGCACTAGACTGAAAGGTCGATTGGAAACACAAGGTCAGAGGTTCAAACCCATAAGCTGCTCCTCAGAAACCCTATACAGTGTCACTTTGAGTCAGAACTGAGGTGACGGCATTTAACAAAAACAACAATGGGACTGAGAACTTTAAATTTTATAAAGAAACATTATATCAAGTCACGCCAATTATCAAAGACTTAAGGTCTGAAACTAATAAAACCTTAAATATAGAAAATGAGGCTATATGTAAATAAGAATTTTAATTATAACTATAAATTATAATTAGGGAGTCACTTACCTAAATGGGAAGACTGGATAAAATTTTATGTAAATCAGAAAGTATAACTTGCTATCAGATTAAAATTTGATATGTAAGAAGTTATTAAGAGAAATACAAAATAATATGTGCTGGTTAATATATGAGTATATTCACATTTTTAGTATTCTTCCTTTGTGCTGCTATATTTCTTTTCAAAACCAATATTTACTTGTTAATTTGTTTCAATATGAAGAGATAGCAAAAGCACATTTCTCTTTAAGTATCTGATATATTCAGACCCTTGGGATACACTGTTTTGGTTAACATAAATTATTGTAATGATAAAACCTTAAAACAATTATTTTAACTTTGGCTGGGTTGCTCACCAGATTTCAGAGACTGCCAATTTACCTTTGATATAAATTTCTTAGCAGCTATAAAGAATTATAATCATAATTTAGTTGGGCTTGTTGTTGTTAAGTGCCATCCAGTTGGTTCTGACCCATAGTGACCTGATATCGGGTTTCCAAGGAGTGACTGGTGAGTTTGACCACTGACCTTGTGGTTCAAACCGACCTTTCGGGTCCTGCACTTATCCTACAGTGCCACACCAGCTGGGCTTAGAAAACAGTAAGACAAAACAAAATAGGTCTCTTTCTATGCAAAAGAAATCATGTTCTCAAACAAACAAACAAACAAATACAAGCTTTGCCACTGTGTTTCAGTCAGAAGACTGACTACAGGAAATTATGCCTACTAAGGCACACAATACATACGTAATAATATATATAAGATTGACACTTTCCTTTGTTTTTATAGTGTACTTTTATGTGTCAATATTTTACTCAACTCTATACAGCATGAGCAGTTTCTTACTTCTCTATCTCTTCAGAAGGTAACAAATAAGGTTGTTTTTTTAGGCAAGTGCAGCCTATGGTCAGTTCTTAATGTGTAGTTACAGTGCCACCTAGTGGCTATATAAGGATTATCTATTACAGATAGTGTACATTACAGCCTTGGAGTCAGTTCTAACACATAACAACCCTGTATAAGGTTTCAGGAGTCCTGGTGTGGTGCTGCGGGTTAATGCGCTGGACTGCAAAGTCAACTTGAACTGCAAGTTCAGCTGTTAAAGCTCACCAGCCACTCACTATGAGTTGGAACCAACAGCGCTTAACATACAACACAATAAGGTTTCAGAGGAGCAGCTGGTGGGTTTGAACCACCAACTTTATGGTTCATAGTCCACTGCTTATTTTACAGCATAATATTACAGTGAAAAAAAAACTAGAAATCCCTGCTATCAACAAATTCACACTTACTTGGAAACCTTATTGATTCCAAAAGTCACTTGTTGGTTTAGAGACGAAATTATTTTATCTTTCTTTTTAATCTGCATTTGGCTTTCTTGCCACCGAAAAGTGACTGTTTTCAACTGCTTTTTGAAATCCTGATCAATGAAAAATATTTCAAAGTTAATTCTATATAAAGTGCCAGAAATCATGAAAAGAACAAAAAAAAAACTGAGTTTTTTCTTGAAAAGAATATGCCAATAAATTTAACATTTCAAGACCCTCTGATTTCCAGCAGATCTAATAGCCAAAGTACTTACTTCGCACTGATAGTGCAATTTACAAAGCTGCTGTTGATTAGCAAGCCTTTCCTTGTCAGTTTCTCCATAATCTGCAGTTACCTTGCTGGTTGACCCCTATTAAGCAAATGAAATATGCATGTCTGAATTTGAGTTCATATAAAATCAACCCTTAGTCTTTTGGGGCAGGATATCTTATTTTCCCTTTTTAAAAAGGCACAGATATTTTATATAAAGGATATTTAAAGTTGCCATCTATCTTCTACTCCTGCTTTGTTTTCAATACAAATGGTGCTTCACTGTTCAGGTTAGAGAAACCTGCCTTTTACCAGTTATAGTTGTATGCAATAACATTACCTGTGTGCTTGCTGTGTTTTAAGAGCTTTCTGTACAATGCACTTCATGGTCATGGGAATCTTATCAGGTGGACACTTATTATTCCAGTTTTACAAATGATAAAAGTCTGTAAGTATTCTTCTTAAGTGTGAATCTGAATTTGAACTCATGCAATCTGCCTTCAAAGGCCAAGTACTTAATTATTACACATGATGATCCGTCAGGGACTATGTTTTAGCATAGCTCTTGACATACAGTAAGGGCTAAATGTCGTCTTTTGAATAAATGAATAAACAAACATTTCTAGAAAGTCTGCAGTGTTACTTTGATTCTATATTTAAGTTCTAATAGTTCTCATGACTGTTGAATGAAAACTAGAAGCTCCACATTTAAACTTTAATATGATATTCAGAGCTAAGAATATGATATTTCAGTTAAAATACATTTATCTTAATATTATTAGAAAGAAGAAAAGTTACATAAAAATTATATGAATGTTATACTATTTTAGCCAGGCAATAATCTTTATTAACTGATGATTAATATTCTTGTACCCTATATCATCTTATGAGAGTACTTAAGACTCTGAATATATCTATATAATATACGATTACATGATGGGGCTTCAAAAAGCTTGTGAAAAACTTTCATTATGTTTAAATTCCATTTTCCCATGAACTTTTTAAATCCCCCTTGTATTTAAACCATGGAGTAGATGATCATGAAATTACCTCAATATGGAATGCTCTTGAGGGGGTAAAACAAGAGTTTTTAAATAAAACAAAACATTTGTTCTGTTGAACACTTAAAATCATTTCCATATGTATCTTTACATATAAATACATCATTTCAAGCAGTGACTACCAAGAAATAAACCAAAGGGAAACGAAACAAAGCAAAACTGTGATATATTAACATCTTCGTAGACATTCCATGGTAACAACCAGAATTCCATAAAAATAATAATAATAAAATAGCTTTGTTTTACTATATTTCTCATGACACTTAAACCCAAGATTATGCCAGTTTTGCCTTTTATTTTTTTCTTCTGTATTGGAAAATCTTCATAAGGAATGAATTTCTAAAGCCAGGAAATGGTTTGAAAGCTTCAGTAAAAAACTTTCCAGCTTCCAAGATTCTTTTTATTCATTTTTACCTCCTTACTCCCTTCACCTCTCTTTCCCTTCATTGCTTTTTTTATTTTCTTTTTGACTAACAGTGTAAACCACAGGGCTAACATGTGTTCAATGAGTGAGGAAAACAGAATTAATAAGTGTTCCTAGAAGAAAGAAGCCTCTCTAGTCAGGCTTACCTGTTCTATCATGTCCAGAATATGCAATTCATCCAGGGTATAGTTCTTTTCTTCACTTGCAGAATCTTCTTGCACATCACTTGAATCATCATTCATAAATCCAATGAAGCGTGGACTTCCTTGCTGCTTCTTTATCTGCTCTTCGTTCCCTACCATATGTATGCTATCATGATGACATAATCAGTAAGATCTTTTAAAATTGTACTGTGCTTTCCATCTAAGTCACTGTTTCCCAAATTGTTATTATGCTGGTTTCATGGGATGCTTAGCATAAGAATGGGCCACGGTCAAACATCAATTTAGACAGTATTCAGATGGTGTCTTTCTCTTGAAGATTCACAGTGTGTATTAGCATATTTCGGACAGCACTCAGCTGAGACACCTATTTAAATTCTGCTCATTCCAGTGCTTTCAAGAATTATTAGACCTCAGACCTCATTTTTCAAATTGTATCTACTAACAGCAATTACTTCAGGAAATAATACTTTGGGAAACATTGACAAGCATTTCTATATTTGCTCTATCATTTTATCATCACAACATTCTTGACAGGTAGGTTAGTTGAAGCAACTTCTATTGTTTTAGGTCAAGTATAAATCTAAACACAGGACCATAAACAGCAACATAATGTGAGTTTTTAATGGATAATTCTTTTACAACAGGACTTTTATGAGACTGTAGTAATAACATGGATTTCAGTAACTAGGAACAACTGGAAAAAATGAAAAGATTAGAGGTACAATTTCAATGAACCAATTTTATACTTACCTCTAAATTTTAAATATAGGCCTCACTACCTTTTCAGTTAGCTTGCTATTTTGTTGTTAAGTACAGTTGAGTCAGTTTCAACTCATAACTACCCTGTATAGCAGAGGTGGGGTATGTCTAGCCCTCAAGCCGTATTGTTGTTGTTGTTATGTGCCGTGGAGTCCTTTCCGACTCATGGCGACCTCACATAGGGTTTCTGAGGCTGTAAATCTTTATGGGATCAGAAAGCCTCATCTTTCTCTGGCTCAAGCTGCACAAAGCCCATGAAATCATTCAGCTTGACTTTGCCAAGGCAACCGCAGTTCCAGCCATCACATTAGGAGTTAATTAATTAAATGTATGACCAAGTATAGAAGGCTAATATTTAAGTTGATAATTTTGTATGGCCCGTGAGTGATGTAACAAATTTGGATAGAAAAAAGTTTCCCCACCCTTGCTGCATAGGATTTCCAAGGAGCAGCTAGTGGTTTTGAACTGCCAACCTTGTGGTTTTCGGTCCAGCGCTTATCCTACAGCGCCACTAATTTCCTTTTTAATCCTACTGAATGACAAGAAATAATACATTTACTTATGTTGTTGTTGTTGAGTACCATTGAGTCAGTTCTGATTTATAGCAACCCTGTATAGGATTTCTGAAGAGTGGTTGGTGGATTTGAATCCCTGACCTTGTAGTTAATAGTCTAGTGCTTCTCTTATAGCATCACACCAGGGCTTCACATTTCCTTACTTACTTATGTTGTTAATTGTTGTAGAGTCAATTCAGACACACAGTGACCCTTTATAAGGTTTCCAAGGAGTAGCTGGTGAGCTTGAATCACAGACCTTGTGATTAAAGCAACTTTGCAGACCAGAACATTAACCCACAGTATTACACATTCATTTATAGCATGATAAAATTACTTGGAAGTCCTGGTGTGCCACTATGGGTGAATGTACTGGATTACAAAGTTGGTTTGAGTCTCAAGATCGGTGGTTCAAGCTCCCCAGTCATTCCTAGGAAACCCTATACAGGGTCACTATGGGTCAGAACAGACTCGACGGCACTTACAAGCAACAACAATAACAAAATTGCCTGATTTTACCGGTGAATAAAAATAACAGAGATAAGTCTAGGATGGATTATTAGTTTTCTTAGGCCACTGAAACCTAGAAAAAAAATAACACCTAATACTTTTAGGATGATTTGTAAAACACTATATAAACAGTCATTAAGTATCACTGAGATAGTCTTGAATGACCCATATATGTTTAAAAGCTTAACAAAATCAATTGTGTGTATAGACTAGCAGCTCCCAAACCCAACTAACTTTCTAAATTACCTGAAGAGCTTTTAAAAAACATTTTCCCCGGTACCTACACAACTACAAAAATATACACTAATTTGTATTTTAGGTAAACCACCCCCAAGATTATTGCTGAATTTTTAAAGTATAATAGCATTAGGATAATAAAGGCACATGGCCACATTTTTAAGAGATGCAAACTAAAGCATGAAGGAGTAAAGTTATCTGCTTCTGTGTTTGGAATTAAAACCACTTCAACAAAGAAGAAAATGGTAAGTTATATTTGAAGCAAATACAGCAAAAGAAAAATAGCTGGTGAGTAAGGTTGATCGGTATGAATACTATTCTGTTTACTGTTGTATATATTTGAGAACTCTAATGTAAAAGAAAAATTCCCTGGGAAATTGTATCATCACCCAGATTTGGGTTTCTACTAGAAGTAAGCAAAATGAACAAAATGATTGACAACCTTGTTTTACTCTCTAGTAAGTTATTTTTATGGCATCTAGACATGGACTGAAAACAAAACCATTGGTCATTAGTTGCCAAAGAAAAGTGAAAACCCATCATGGGTGATGACCTATTTGCTTACCAAGTAATCATGACCATCATAATAAGAGAAAATCAACTCTAAATGATAGCTTCCAAGTTAACTCCTGGTGTGGTGCTGCAGGATTAGTACGCGTCTTCAGCCACAAGGTCAGCAGTTCAAATCTACCAGCTGTTCAGCAGCACTTAGCAACAACAATCATCTTAAAGGTCTCTTAATTATGTCCCTGAAGTACTATAGTCTCTAAAGTTACTAATATTCAGTTAAAACTGTTTGATATGAATAATATTTCCCCCCTTAGTACACTGTCATCACTTATAAGGTTGGACAACACATTTAACAGTGACCTTTTGATCTTACAAAGTTTCCATTGTTGTTGTTGTTAAGTACCGTGGACTTAGTTTAGACACAGGGTTTCTGAGGCTGTAAATCTTTACGGGAGCAGAAAGCCTCGTCTTTCTCCCACGGAAAAGCTGGTAGTTTCGAACTGCCGACCTTGAGGTTAGCAGCCTGATTCAAAACCACTACACTGCCAGAGCTCCTTAGAAAAATTCACTGTCAAGAACTGGGATAAAAAAAATCCTCCAGTTAATTTAAAAACAAACAAACAACAAACCAACTTAAAAAAACAATCTCTTCTGTACTAGTAAAAATGGTCATTTGGGACATACAACGATCTCTGTCCTTCTTAAAAGTTAAGTCATACTGAGTCTATGTTTTGCTAATCACATTTTAGACTAAATTCTAAAAGATTGCAAGTTAGATCAAGTCAGTCTTTAAATGAAGCAGTTAGAACACGATGACTACTGAGTAGCCTTACAGAAAAATTGTGAGTTTCTATTCTTCCAAGTAAATAGTAATTTAACTTTTATCATTTTGTACAAAGCAACAACCTATTAAGACAAGGAACTGCCACTTCTTCCCTTCAATGATAACATGCCCCAGAGCACAACTATATCACACACTGGCAAAGCATATTTCAGAAATATTGAGAAAAAATGCTTTAATAACATAAACTAGCACTTACACTTGCTCTTCATTTGATTCCTTATTCTGAAAAAGAGAAAGAATTACTCATTTATAATTAAATAGGCTAGTAACTTAATACAAATTAATATTGCACAGTGATCTGAGGTAATTTCCCTTTTATTTACCCCTCAAACAAAGAAACATATTTTACAGTGGTATGCATGTAACTATGTTCCCACTTGTCTGTCAGTTGGTTATATGTTGCTACAATGCTGGAGACAGTATAGCCAGTGTTTCAAAACAAGCAGGATCACCCATAGCGGACATGTTTTAATGAACATTACAGACTAAGAACAAACTTGCTGTTGTTTTTGCTGTTGTTGTTAGGTGCCATTGAGTCAGTTCCAACTCTTAGTGACCCTATTTACAATAGAACAAAACACTACCCAGTCGTGGGCCACCCTGATAATCACTGCTATGCTTGCGCTCATCATTTCTGCCACTGTGCCAATCCATCTTGTTCCTCTTTTTCTCTGACACTTCACTATATCAAACATGATATCCTTCTCCAGTAATTGGTCCCTCCTGACAACATATCCAAAGTAAGGGAGACAAAGTCTAGCCATCTTAGTTTCTAAGAAGCACCCCTGGCTATACTGCCTCCAACACAGATCTGTTTGGTAGGCCATGGTACTTTCAATATTCCCCTCCAACACCGTAACTCAAATATGTCAATTCTTCTATGGTCTTACTTGTTCACTGACCAACTTTCACATGCATATGAAGTTATTGAAAAATACCATGGCATGGGTCAGGAGCACCTTAATCCTCAAATTGACATCTTTGCTCTTCAACACTTTAAAGAGGTCTTGTGTAGCAGAAAGAACAGACTAAGAAGAGAAAGCAGGTGGTTCACTTCTGAAGAATTAGTCACTGGTAACCTTACGAATGTTTACCTGTGCTTTATTGACTATGCAAAGGCTTTGGATTGTGTGAATCATGACAACCTATGGACAACATTGTGAAGTATGAGTATTCCAGAACACTTAATTGTGCTCATGAGGAATCTGTATATAGACCAAGAGGCAGCTGTTTGAACAGAACAAGGAACACCAAATGGTATAAAATTAGCAAAGGTATGCACCAGGGTTGTATTTTCTTTCATCATACTTATTCAACCTGTATGCTGAACAAATAATCTGAGAAGCTGGATTATATGAAGAAAAGTGTGGCATCAGGATTGGAGAAAGACTCACTAACAACCTGCAATATGCAGATGATACAACCTTGATTGCTGAAAGTGAAGAGTACTTAAAATATTTACTGATGAAGATCAAAGACCACAGCCTTCGGTATGGGTTGCACTTCAATGCAAAGAAAACAAAACTCCTCACCATTGGACCAATAAACAACATCCATATAAAAGGAGAAAAGACTGAAGTTGCCAAAGACTTCATTTTGTTTGGATCAACAATCAACACTCATGGAAACAGCAGTCAAGAAATCAAAAGATGCACTGCATTGGGCAAATCTGCTGCACAAGACCTCTTTAAGGTGTTGGAGAGCAAAGATATCAGTTTAAGGAATAAGGTATACCTGACCCAAGCCATGGTGGGACCAGTCACTGGAGAAAGACATCATGTGGAGTGTCAGAAGAAAAGAGAAAGACCCCCAATGACATGGCCTGGAACAATGGCAGCATCAATGGGCTCAAGCATAGCAACAATTGTAAGGTTGGCCCAGGACCAGGCAATATTTTATTATGTTGTGTGTAGGGTCACTTTGGGTCCACACAGACTTGATGGCACCAAACAACAACAACCTTATGAAGGAGTTCTCTTGTGACGCTTTAGATAAGCATTGGACTGAAAGGTTGGTTTGAAACTCAAGGTTGGTGGTGCAAACTCACCAGTCACTCCATGGAAACCTATACAGGGTCACTATGAGTCAAAACTGACTAGACAGCAGTTAACAACAACAACAACCTTAATAGTGGAATGTTGTTTGATATAGTGCCAGAAGATGAGCAACTCAGGTTGGAAGATACTCAAAATAACACTGAGAAAGAGCTGCCTCCTCAGTTTCAAGATCTTCAAATACAATGCTGTCTGTGGAGGCATAATAACAACTCTATGCTTACAAGGAAGATGAGTTAGTACAATTATTATTCAAATTTAAGTGGCAACCACCAAAGTCAATGATGAAATTGAAGAATTCTACCAACTTCTTCAGTCTGAAACTGATCAAATATGCAATCAAGATGCATTAATAATTACTGGTGATTAGAATGTGAGAGTGGGAAACAAAAAGGAAGGACCAATAGTTGGAAAATATTTCCTTGGTGATAGAAATGATACTGGAGATCATATGATAAAATTTTACAAGACCAATTATTTCTTCATTTCAAATACCTTTTCTCAACAACATAAATGGTGAGTATATACATGGATCTCACCAGATGAAATATGTAGGAATCAAATTGGCTACATCAGTGGAAATGACAATGAGAAACCCAAAATTATCAGCTAAAACAAGAGCAAGGGCCAACTGTGGAACAGCCAATCAATTTATATATGTATATGTTGTTGTTAAGTGCTGTCGAGTCGGTTCCGACCCATAACGACCCTCTACAGGGTTTCCGAGGCTATAAATCTTTATGGGAGCAGAACGCCTCATCTTTCTCCCATGGAGTGGCTGGTAATTTTGAACTTCTGGCCTTAAGGTTCACAGCCCAATTAGTAACTACTACGCTA